CCCCAAAACCCCAAAACCCCAAAACCCCAAAAGAGTATTTATCTATAATTTGTTAAGTAGTAAAGTTAAGAAAAATTTAAATTAAAAACATTTCTGATGAATAATCAAACTTTCTCTCATCCTGATATTGCTACTAATATGAATACGATCCAGATAAATGAAATAAACAATAAAAACTCTCAGTCGAAGCAAAATTTATTTTCTGATTTAATCAACTAGCATGCCAAAGATTTCCAAGAATAGGAACATATGACAGTAAATTAGATTTTCTGAATCTATTAAGATATTTAAGAATACGAGGGTGCTTCCCCAAATTTTCTTGAGTCCTATTACCAAGGTATAATCTCTTAATTTATTTTATATAGACGATGTCTAATACTCTGATTCAATCTACACAACTGCGTCTAATAGCAGTAGTTATCACAATAACTCTGCATATTCTATCAAATCTGGTGTTATAAGCACGTAGTCTTAAATAAACTCAACTAGGGTTTTGGGGAAAAGGATTCATCCTGATTATGATGAGCCTAGCTAAATCTATGAATTTAGCCAAGAGTAATCTTCTAAAGATACCTTTACAAATGCAACAACCCTTACTCAAGATCTACTAGAATTTGATATTAAAAACCTCAAGAATTCATTAGAATATCTAAAATAAAGATAAACTCAAGTATAAGGATAAGAAAATAGAAACCCAAACCTTATATATAAAGGGGTGAGTTAATCTCAACCTATCGTAGACAATAACATATTAATTTTAAAGTCATTTAATGAGAAAATATATAATACTGCCAATGAAAAGTATTGCAAAGTGATTGATATGATATAAAGTGCTACTGTTCGATATTATAAGCATAATAAAGTAATCGAAGATCTAGAACTACTTAGGAGAGTAAGTGATATATAAACATTTTAGCTTAAATTTAATTTAGAAAGCTGAGAGAATTATCTAAGTTGAGTATAACTAGATCAACAACATAATAAGACTATTAGATTGCATCTCTTGTACTATCCTTAGATAAAACTATAATTCAAGTATTATGAATGTAAGTTTAACTATACTACTTTCAAAAATTGATTGGATTATAGATTGTCGATGCTATGTGTTCATTTTTACAGGAGAAGGTTCAATACCTCTAAAATGACGGCACTTTTCAGCCATTAGAAAATCTTCTATTCCTTTTAATCAAGAGTTGCCTTAGTGCTATGAGAATAACCTCCTTGACTCTCTCAAGATAGAATAACATGCATTAAAGTAAGTCTCTCAAATAGCGCATTACTATGAATAGGATTCATATTGAGAATGAAAGAGCAACTTGCTTAAAACAATCTGAAGCTATTAACTAGATTTAAGATGCAGAAAAATATAGGTGGGTATCAAGAGATCCATCAGAAATTGATAAAGGTGATATGTGAAGGTGAAGATGTCTATGAAAAGATTATATATCTTGATCTGCTTTTGGAGAAACTTAGAAATCTATATGATGAAGTATTTCCTTGATTATCAGAGACTGGTGATGAAAATTTGATGAATAACTCTTGGATTGATTGACTGATAATTGATTGAAAAATTTGATAGATGCTTTTTAATTAAAAAATAGTTTTAGATATACAATACATTTGATATTTGTTTTAAAAGTCTCATTTAATTTGGTACTTATTAGCTAATCGGGGTTTTGGGGTTTTGGGG